TAATCATTTCATGTGTTTGACAGGTGAGACCTCAGCGTGTGTGTGTGTGTGTGTGTGCGTGCGTGCTAATCCCTGCTCTTTCCTCGGTCATTCTTTCAATTTCTGTGCCTGGATCCCAACAGATCCTGTTATTTCTACCTTATCTGTAAGTAAAGTTTGTTTTGCATGTAAAACAAACCAAAAAAAAAAAGATCCTCCAAGAAAAACATCTACTGAAAAATTGGATTTTTTTTTACCTTTTTTTTGTAATTTCACAGGATAATATCAGGAATTTTAGGCTATGACTGGTTTTAATCGACTTCATTTTGTTGGTAAAAGTTGGGTTAAATACAATCACTGTTCCCATCAAACAGGGGCTATAGAATCTTACAGTACGCACGTGTTTTATTCTAATTTAATGTACTCATTTCTTTGTATGATAGGACGTATTGAAGAGTCATTTCTCTCAGTTTGTAAACGGAGCATGTAATCAGGTTTGTATATTGTAACAAACCAACAGGAGGAGTTGTGTTCTGCTTTTAATGCTGCAATGAATTCAGGTATAGTAATAATATTTAAAAAATCAATTTTGCCATCGCCACATTTGGCAGCAAGATTGTGAAAACGCTGAGGACCGAAAACGATGAAGAAAAAAATGGAGTCTCCCTCCTTTTTTAAAATGAAGATGAAAAGAAAGATGAAGTCGTGCCATGATGATGATGATCTCTTGTGTCAAACACAAATGTTACTTGAATGTTGAGGTTTTTTTTTAGTTTTCTTTTGCAGATATAGAAAGAGATGGGTTGGCTTTGTAAAGGAAGAAATAAATGTTTAGTGATGTGTTGAGTCTAAAGCCAAGCTGTAGTTGCTACTGATTTCTGATGTGAAGTCTGCGTGGAGAAAAAAAAAAGACCAAATTGATCACTTGCAAGATCACCTGGAGGTCTGAGTTAAAAGTGAAACAGCAAATGCATTGTTTATTTTCTTGTACACTGGCTTACCTACTAGACTACTGTAACTTTTAATGATTGTGTGTGAACGTCGCCTGCTGATGTGGGCACAGGTAAAAATGAGTGTGTGCGTGATGGTGTGTGTGTGTATAATAACACAACACCTATGTTTTGTTCACCAAACTCCCTAATAGCCCTTAAAAAGCCTTAAGTGTTTGGTCCTTGGACTTTCCTTTGACAATGAGCATGGTTTTAATAAACGAAAAAACCCAAATAGTGAAAAAGAGGATGGTAAGGAAAAACAGAAACAGCAATTCTTAATTTTTTTGTTTTTATTTTATTTGCCTTTTTTAAAAATTATTTTTAATGAAGTTTTGTTTCAGAGCGCAATTCCTTAGTGATTCCTTCTAGAGGGGGAAAGAAAAGAAGAGTAATAATTTGTACTTATATATTTTTAGCCATGTGTAGTTACTGAGCTGTAACTCTTTGATTTTGTTTTCCAGTTTTAAAAGCTTCAGTTTGCAGTTGTGACTATTTATGATACTTGATCTGCTTTGTTATTTAAATTTTATTTTCCTCTTTGTTTCCTGTACTATTGCTGTGAAAAAAGGAAGAAGGCTCGCCGGCCTTTCTTTTTTGTGTCATTCTGTACGACGGAGAAGAGGCAAGAGTTGTGCTACTCTTTTTGTAATATTGTAATAATAAAATAAAGTTCTAATTTATGCTTTGAGTCAACTCGGTGAGGTTTGTGTTTCGGGTGGCAAACCGGGCCCACCTGAGCCCTCTGCAGCTGATTGTTGCTCATCTCTCGGCTGCCCTTTATCCCGGCCTGCCTCAGCCTCGTACAGCCGGGGGAAGCAGAGCAGACGATGCAAGCTGTGAAATCTGCAGGACTTTTTTTGCGGCTGCGGTAGCTTTAGCTTGTCTGGCTGTGATGAAAATGAGACTTGGATAAAGGGCACGCAGCAGGAGAGCGGGATCAGCACCTTTTGTGATCAGTATTACTCCYGGCGCACATTTCTGAGCCCTGCCGGAGGATGTGCATGCAGCTCCCRTGCAGAAACAGCCCGTTTGGATAAAAAGGATCAAATCTGAGTTTCATGTTGCACTTGGGTTTGAGGCGACAGTCTGTTTAACTATTATATCAATCAGATGCACAGAAATAACTGTTCCTCGTGTTTCTCTTCAGGACGATAAACAGAACTCTGTTCATTGGTTGATTGTCTTCTCCCAGCTGAGCAGCCATGCTGAAACACTTTTTTTTAGATATTAATACAGGTGTCTCATCTCTGTGGACTCAGATGTGTTCCTCCACCTATTGCTGTCCTTGAACAGCCCTCTCAGGCTCCTCCCTGTGGAGAAAAGTGGAAACGTTTACAAATCAGAGCGCCTCACTCTGCTGTCTGCACAGACAAGCAGCTGACGGATGCTCCTCTACCTCGGTTTTTTCTCCTGGGAGAGGTTTCGGAGTCGGACTGCGGGATCCCGTCRCAGCAGCCCGGGTCCTCGTTGATTTTGGACAGATTGGTGTTCCATTTGTCCCAGTTTTTCTCCTCCACTCTGAGAAGACAAAAAAGAGCGCCGGTGAGCGTCGGCTGTCAGAGGAGGACCCTGGTGATCACACGGCTGCAGGACTAAAACCTCTGGCTCYGTTCTCCAACTCAGGTTTTGTCTGACACAAGAAACCTCGACATGCTTGTCAGATAAGAAGCCCATCAATGATGCTCTCAGAACCTCCTTATCACCAGAAAACCTGCAGATGCCTGCACTTATTCAATCACGTGCAGATAAAGTTTATCAGCACATTAGGTGAGACCAGAAGAAAAACACCATCTACCAAAAACAAATATTACTTCTTCACTATAATCTGCATGAGTAGAGAACACTGGGTGGGCCTATGGTTTTACAAGACACCCAACTAATACTATTCCAAAATCCTTTTTGCTTTAAAGGATGAAAAAGAAAATCTTAGGAGCGACAGATTAATTAGAGCAAATCAGTGGTTGTTAGAAAATAAAATAAAAAATCCTTTGTTATTTATTAAGAAACAAATGTTAAGTTTTAATGAATACGTACATTTTTAAAATCTACAGATAGGATTTTAGATTAAATACAGATTCAACTAAGCAAAATCAAAGTCCAAGCATTTCTTGAAGGAATGTGTTTAGTTTAAAGATGGCCACCACAGTCTCACCTCACAAGATTTTACTGCATATTCTGTGTTGAGGATGACTCTCAGCTACCACCATATTGACTTTAACTCCGAATTATGAGTTAGTTATTGCTAGTTTTATGTTTGCAAGGTTATCTGTGGTGGCCATCTTAAATTGAGTCGACTAGAAACATTCACGTAGCTGTACATCTGACATTTACTCTCTGAAAGTTTAATTCAGATTGGATATTTTGCTAACAGGTGAACAGGGTAGATACTAGAAGCTATGAGGAAAGATTGAGGCAAATATTTTGCAGTGTGTGGAGGGTTGGAGTAAATGTTTGTAACCTTTAATGATTCTGTGTATTCACCTTTTAGATGTATTTTATAAAGAGTATACAGTCCCATCCAAAAGGTTTACATCTTTACAATTTGCTGCCAAGCATCAAACTTTATTGTAAACCTTTTAAGTGGTCACCAACAGTTATTTAGTCTTTCTGAAGGTCTTTCAAAGTAAATATAAATATATTATTATTTAACTTTAGGTGTTTTTTCTCATTTTCTGCCCAGGTTTTGTGCCTGACTGGAACAATGGTTTTGGGCTTTAAAAGAAAGGAACAAATGAAAGCCAAATTAAAATGTTTCAAGCCTAAAAAGAAAACTTCTTGCAGCAAAAAATAAGTGAAAACACAGCTAAAGTTCAGAGGAATACTTTAGAAAGTCTGGAGAACCAGTAATAGAAATTATTTTAAAACACGATAAAAATATCCAGCTTGTTAGAAACAAAATCTGAAGAAATGAGTGGTACTCAGGATCCCTTTAGTGGTACTTGGGTAAAATTTTAATTTGAACTGTTTCCAAGTTAAATTTATGAGTTATCTGTCACAAACTAAATGTGGGCATAATGCTGAAATACAGGAAGAGGCATAAAGATGAACAGCACAAGCTTATTGACATTGGCTCTATCCAGAAACTGCTTCAAAAAAATTAAAATAAAAAAACAAGGACAATTTTAAGAATACGTAGCTTGGAAACTGGTGTTACTTTATCAACTCCAGCAAAGTCTCTATATGATCTGTTGGTGACAAATGTGCAAAACAATGAAAACATTTCATTCAAGTTAGTGAAATTTTCTATTTAGCAATTGTGTGAAAGAAGAGTTGGACAGTTTGTTATAGTTTAGGCCAAATATAATATAAATAATACTGCTTTGTAACATCTTGTACTTCGAGTTTAGAGTTATTTGAGGCAGTAACTTTTTTATAAAACATAAAAATCACTCCTTTTTTATTATTACATGTAATTTAGTTTAGTTTGGAGTTTTGTTTGTTTGGTTTTAGTGAGATCTGAATAATTGACTTTTTAAAAATGTATGTAATCATTTACCAAATTGGCTTTTCACCATCATAATCTCTTAAATCATATTTGATTAAATCAACCTGTCCAGGAACTGCAGGTGGAAATAAGCATTTTTTTCAATAACCTGGTACCATGCATCTCTCCTTTTAAAAGGTTAATAAAATGTTGTACATTGTCTCTGTGTAAATAAATAAACAGTAAACAGTTTTAAAAAATTCTTCATTCAGTATAAAAATATATTTTAACTAAACAATAAATTAATGATTCAATGCAGCAAAAATAACACATTTAGAAGGGAGTACATATAATACTTATTTTACACAAGGTAGTGTTTCACCTGCCATTATCAGGTGATTATACGCGGAATTATGGTGGTTTGTACAAATAAACAATTAAATCTTATCAGGTTCTTAATAGTATTTCAATTGGGGAGTGGAGCGATGAAAAAATTTAGGTTCCCTAAATTCCTGAAACATTCCAGCACTTTCAGGACCTTGGACAGTTCATACAGCCCTTCACATTGTTTAAGGTCCTAAAACATTGCAGCACTTTCAGAACCTTGGACAGTTCCTTCAGCCCTTCACACTGTCTATGGGCCATGACAGAAAATAATTGACTAAAAATCTTTCAGACACGTGCGGTTTATTTAACTTCCACCACTCTGTCTGGGTGTTAATCTTTGTGTTTCCATAACATCAGCTTAGGAGGTGGTAAATAAACTAAATCCTGGTGATATCGGACTGAACCTAAAGAAACGAACCTGAAACACCAGCGGCTGTCAGTTCCGAGAGCAGTGTTCAGATTTTTCTTCACTCCGCAGCGAAGCCCCTTCTTCAGACAGCAGGGCAACCTTTTCTCCATGTCCAGGATGGTGACTGCCCTCTGAGAAGAACCACAGGTCAGTTAAACCAACAGTCCCTTCAACCAACACCAGCCTGACCACGGACCCCTCACCTGCAGCTTCCAGATGCTGGCACTCTCTTTTGTGATGTTTTCCACAGTGCGGTTCATGAGGGCGATGAGCATGTTGAGCAGCAGGATGTAGGTAAGGATGATGTATCCGATGAGAAGCACATAGAAGACCTCTCCATACTGGTAATCCTGGGCAAACTCCATGTCGCCCATGCCTATGGTGAACTTGAAGAGCTCCAGGATCGTGTAGGAGATGTTTCTGAAGGTGGGTTTGACGCAGTCCTCATTAGGTGCAGTGGTGGTGAATAAAGTTCTCGACTTCCCTGTAGTATTTTTCACCACAGGAGGCTCTATGAGCAGCGTCACCACCGCTGTGACAGAACAGAGAAACTAGTTCAAATACAGCCTATGTGTCAAACTAAAGGCCCGTGGGCCAAATGTGGCACGTCACAATGTTTTATGGAGCTTCAAAGATGTATCAATGTCTTAATTAAGCTGCGTTAAAACCAACTACAAACTACATCTGCCATAAAGCATGTTATGTCCTGTTGTGTCTGTCTGCTGTACAGCACTTTGGTTGGCCTTGTGCTGTTTAAAGTGCTTTATAAATAATAATAAACATAATGGTATGGTATATTGATCATTTTACCCACAAAATTCTGGCATCCCACCACTAGGTGGAGGTGCACAGGGTTCACAAGTAGCCCGCAAAATTTGCCATGAAAAATCTTAATTTTGCTGCATTTTCACCAACTACTTTTGTTGTGACCCAGTTGTACTGGGAAGTAGGAATTTCCCAGTTATACGCATTCCAGTTAGTCCACAGAAGATTGTATTTCTCCTCCTACTTTTTAGTGTCTTGGCCAGATCTCTCTTGTAAAAGAGCTCTTTTGATCTCACTGTGATAAATCTGGTTAAATAAAGATTTTATATAAATACTGTATATATA